ATTCATTCATTCATTCATTTTATTTATCTATGTATGTTGTCATTTGTCTTTGTTGTTAATATATATTATTGCTTATTTTTCGTTTCATATTTGATGAACAAAACAGAGAAAAAAAAGAGTTCGTCTTTTCTTTAATATGCTTATTATAAACTATCGCATTTTTTCCATATTATAAAACAAAAGAGATCAAGCAACGTTTTTTTCTTTCTATTTCGATATATTTCTTTTTTGTTGTTGTTCTTGTTGTTTCGGCAAAGCCATTTTTACGTGCACCTATATAGTTCTTTATTTATGGGTTCTCGTGTCGCTTATGTGGTCATTTTTTTTGTCTACCTGTTAGCTTGAAGGGTTTTATAGTTTATGTCAGTGTTCTATTCCATTATGTCTTCTATATATCTATCAAAAAACTTAACAACAAATAAAATGGTCAAAAACAGAATAAAAAAGATTATATAACGATTAATAAGCTTGGGAAAAAAATTTAATGTTATTTATGAATAATTTATTATCTGTCATAATTCTTTAAAGTGCATGAATAGTCATTTAAAATAAAGAATTCTCATTCTAAAATCATGGATATTTTCAAATAAAAGACGTCATAGAAATGAATATACCACTCATGTCATTGAAGTACGTCAGAGATTATTGTGATGGACTTTATATGTCTTTTCAGATTACGACGTAATAAAATGAATTGCGCCGAAAATTTTTATCAGAACTTTATGAAGGAAAAAAAATGGAAAACTGATGATTAATAGCCTTCAATACATTCTGTTAATAATTGATCGACACACGCTAATATATATATTGATAGAAATCTTTGACCCAGAATATTATTCGTTACAATGAAAATGTCAGTAATGTTTCCTTCTTTTTTTGTTCGCAATAGAAACAATATAAAAGTACATGCAAATGTTATCTTCAAGCTTTTGAAAATCATTTACATAATAAACCTTAAGAAAATAGATTTTTACTGATAAATACCTCAATAAACTTCTTCATAATATGTCACAAAGCTTTACAGGATTATGACCTAAAAGGACAAAGTATCATCGACATTACAATAATGACTAATAATAATATCTAGTCTATAACAAAAAACATCTGCCTGTTTTTTATTTATATAATCCACATTGTATTCTTTATAGATAAGGAAATTAGAAAAATACAAAATTACAATAATCAATTAGAATATGATTTATAAATAGCATCACATTTAAAGCAAGATTATACAGACAAAATCTTTGCACGATTAATTAATTCTTTGTTTATACATATCCGAATCTTTTTTCTATAGCAATGAGAATGTAGACTATTTGAATAAAAAAGAAATGTACTGATTGCATGTTATCTTTATGATATGTTAAACTAATTTGTAATAATAAAATCTTAATCTGAGAATAATTCGGATTAGGAAATTAATTCTTTTTCGAAAGTAAACATATATTAGTTGTCATAAACAAGTTAATATGAACAATATTCGTCTACTTATTGCTTGTATTAAACTTACGCATAAAAATCTATCGACTTATATTTGATTTATACATACGGTGTTATTCAACCGAATCGGATTATTCTTCTAATATGGACGAAAGAAAAAAATGGTAGATATATGAATATACATTGACGCATAAAGCTATTTTATATAATTATGCTTAAAAAATGACGCGAGAAGTTCAACAAAGTAAAAATTTAGAAACATTTTCATTAATATGGCTTGATGCTAATGTTAATGGTTCAATTGAAAATATTGAAACACAACAAAGATTACGAACATCTATTAATCATTTAAAAACATTTCAAAATGGTGATGAATGTAAACACTATATTGAATTATTACCAAAAGATCGTTTTGTATTAATTGTTAGTGGTCGTTTAGGACAAGAAGTTGTTCCATATATACATAATTTAAGACAAGTTTATTCAATATATGTTTATTGTTTACAAAAAGAAAGAAATGAACGATGGGCTAAACAATATTCAAAAATTAAAGGTGTTATTATTAAATTAGATGAATTAGTAACACAAATACAATCTAATCAAAATAAACGTAGTCAAATTAAAATTGATGAACCATTATTAATAACATTTTTTTTTACAAATAATAATAATAATACTGAATTAAATGATCATTTTATTTATTCACAATTATTAATTGATTATCTTTTACATAATAAATTAATATCAACAGATGAAAAAGAATTAATATTATTATCGAAAGATGAATATAAAGGAAATGAAAATGAATTAAATATTGTACGTGAATTTGAAAATGATTATTCATCAGATCGTGCATTATGGTGGTATACACGTGAATCATTTGTTTATCGTCTATTAAATAAAGCATTTCGTATACAAAACATCGATCTTTTATTAATATTTCGATTTTTTATACGTGATATACAACGATTAATTGAACAAAATAAATCTACAAATTCTATATGTGTTTATAGAAGTTATCTTATGTCAAATGATGAAATTGAATTATTTAAAAATTCTATTGGAGAATTTTTATCAATTAATGGATATTTTTTAACAAATACACATCGACAACAAACAATATCTTATTTAAATAGTTCTGATATAACGAATGATCTTGAAAAAGTTTTATTTGAAATTATTGCTGATCCACATATTGATTCATCGAAACCATTTTCTAATATAACATCATTTAGTTATTTTTCCGGGGAAGATCAAATACTTTTTACATTAGGATCAATATTTCAATTAATTAGTATACAACAACAAGATGAAGGAAATGAACGTATATGGATTATTCGAATGAAATTATCAAGTGATAAACATGAACGATTAAAATATGTTTTTGAACATATTAAAAATCAATATAATACAGAACAAATGAATCTTCTTTCATTTGGGCGAATGTTAAGAAAAATGAGTAAATATGATGATGCTGAAAAATTTTATCGACGATTGTTAAAAGAATTACCAGATGGTCATGTAAATATAGCGGATTGTCATTATGAATTAGGACTTGTTGCGGATGAAAAAGGTGATTATGAAACAAGTTTAGAATGGCATCAAAAATCACTTGAAATTAAAAATCAAACATTAAAAATAAATGATCCAAGTATTGCTTTTAGTTATAATAGTATAGCAAATACGTATCAAAAGAAAGGTGATTATAAACGTGCACTTGAATATTATAATAAAGCATATCATATTTGGAAAAAAACTGTTGGTGAAAATCATCTTGATATTGCCATGTGTTTAAATAATATGGGTTGTTTATATGAAAATGAAAAAAAATATTCTCAAGCACTTGAATGTCATCAGAAAGCTTTAGTTATTAAAAAACATCATTTACCAAATGATCATTTTAATTTAAGTGCAACACATAATAATCTCGCTACACTCTATGGTTGTACTGGACAATTTGATTTAGCATTAGAACATCTTAATATATCATTAAATATAAAATTTAAATCACTTTCATCAAATCATCTTGATATAGCATTAACATTAAGAAATCTTGGTCTTGTTTATGAAATAAAACAAGATTTTTCTCAAGCTAAATCAAAATATGAAAAAGCAGCTATGATTCGTCGTCATAATCTATTACCAACACATCCTGATGTTCTTCGAATTGAACAAGATATTAAACGAATTTCATTGAAAATTAAATAAGAAAATATTTCTTTTATCTTATCAAATGCGCATATTCTTGTTGTTTTTGATGATTATTATAGAATATTCCATGATCAAACATTTTTATCATTTATTTGTTATTACATAATTCGCATTTTGTGTATATCTTATTTCCTATCAAAATGTTTCATAATAAAATAATAATATCGATTTCTTTATCAACATTCCTACAGATTTCTTAGTAGAATGAATACGCAGATATATTTGGCACTAAATGACGTTATATTCTATAGAAGAATATGTTAATAAACAAAATTTAGATTATAATAATAAAATATTCCCTTAAGAGTTAATGTACTCTATTTTAATATATGTCGTACTAGTTCATACGATAAGATAATGTTCAATATAGATCGAATTTCAACATCTCAAATTAGAATTTGTCATGTTGACCTAGTACGAGCAATACATTATACTATCATTTTTGAAATGTTTCTTTGAGTTTTTTTCAATATTTATATTATTATAAATAAGAAACACACAAAAGGCAAATAATATATATGTGCGAATGAGATTGTTATAGTTATATGTCGCACATCATCCATATAATCACTGTGTGTGAAGGTAGATTTAAAGAGAAAGAGAGAGAGAAAAAAACGAAAAGGCAAGGAATGACAAGACAATAATACACACATACAGACACACAAAGAAAATTGAAGTTCGCACTTTGTTTTGTTTTTTTTTTGATATTAGAGAAATTGCCATTCCAAAGCATGAATAAGTGCTGTAAGATTTTGATGTTCACTTACACGCCAGAATGGCCATGAAAGCTAAACAACAAAATAAATGAAATTTAATTATTATTCGAAAATAATTTACTTGTTTAGCTGCTAATTCTTCATCGCGTCCATCTCCGACAACAACATAAGTTGGTTTTCGACCAAATCTTGTATGGATACGTTCAAAACAACTTTCTTTACCTATTTTAGTCGCACTATAAATATTTTCTATATCAAATACACCACCGAGTCCATATAAAATAACTTTTGATAATGCTGGTACTAATTGACATGTTGTGACAAGAACATTAATACAATTTTTTCTAAAATAATAATAATAAAAAATGAAACGAAACGAAATTTATTTATTTATTTACCGTTGTTTAATAATATTTAAAGCTTTCATTGCTAAAGTAAGCCATGAACCTGTTAATGTTTCAATATCAACACGTAATTGAAGTAATTCTTCATATTTTTGTTGACCAAGTAAATCTACTTTGAGAAAAAAACGTTTTTAGAAATATATTATTCAGTTTTTTATTAATTACTTTGTGCATTTGATCGATATGTATTATACATTTCTTTTATACGTCGATAACGAAATGCTAATTTACGCATCCAATCAACTCCACCACGAACAGTACTACTTATACATGGATTATTAACATTTGTTGATGAATGAAAACCATCAGCAGAAAAGTTATAATTACTAAATTAGAAAATCAATGATTAACAAATCTTGACATTATCATCTATTATAAAGGACTAGCTTTCTACATTGTATATGGGTCATATTTGTAGTGAAGTTCGATATTATTCATTAAAGCATAAAATCTCTTTAGTTCAACTATATATAAGTACCTAAGATCTTGTCCATTATCATCCGATGAAACATCATCAATATGAACTTGATCACATTCTTCCAGATCATTAAAAAATAAATGTGCATCAGCTAAATTAAAAATAATCTCTTCAATACGTAAACCAAGTGACATTGCTGCTTGAGTATCCTTTAAAAATAAAAATGTATGAAAAATAAATCAATATGAAAAAAAAAAACGTTTACTTTTTGATAACGTTGAGCATATGTGCCTGTTAATAATGAATGTAAAATAATAATGGTTTCATCTAAATCCCAAACAAATATTCTTTCAACATGATTATCTGGATCAGGTGATGATTGTTGTTGTTGAATTTTACTTCTTCCACGATTATTTTTCGATTTTGATGCTTAACAAATAAATAAAAAAACAAATTATTTTAAATGAAGATTTGTTAGTCTTACATCGTGCACTTATTTCAGTTTTAATTGATGGTGATGGAGAATTCGGTGATGAAAGTACACTTGGATTTGAATATTGATTTTGATGATCAAGTATTGTTGGTGGAAGAGATTCAATTGAATATCCTTGAGAATTTTTTATTGAAGATGTTAATTGATTCGATGATGCTGTTGAAGAATTAAGATTATATGGAGATGGATAAGCAGCTGTTGAATAACATGGATAACTAAGTGTAGGTTGAAATTGATGGTAATAACTTGTATCAAGACTCTAGAAAAAAATATTATTTAATCATTAAGAAAAAAACATATTTCTATTCATACCGATTGAGTACCATATGGTGATGGACTAGTTAAACTGGTAGCTGATGATGTACCTGGAGTTGAATAAGCTATTAAGAAATAGAATTTATAAGAATTTATTAATATTATTAATTACTTTCAGGTAATGGATATTGAAAATTTAAAGGTGAATATCCATTTGGTGTTGTATTGTAATATGGAGGTATATTAACATATCCTGGCGATGAAAATGAATAGCTCGCCATCGACGGTTGACTAAAATGAACATTTATAATATATATCAAAAAAAAATTGATTTTTTTTAAAGAATATTTTCTAAAAAAAACATCTGTTTCCACTCTTACCCTTTTTTACTCTTCTCTCAAACATAATTTACACACGTGCATGTATAATTTTCTTTATTCATAGAGAGAAAAAAAATCAAAGGATCTAAATATGATACGTGATAATGTATCCGATTTTTTTTTGTATGTTCGAAGAGGAAAGAACCTATCTGATTACTTCTACTAGTGAAATCTTACCTTTATTCCTTCTGAAAGAAGAAAAAGATAAAGCAAATGCTTGCGAGAGAGAATAAGAGAAAATGATATTTCTTTTTTTCTCTTTTCATAAAACTACGAACGAATCAGAAAGAAGAGAAACAAAAGAAGAAGAAGAAGAAAAAAAGGAAGAAAGTTCTATTTATTTTTCTTAAACAAACCTACCCGTCGAATATTGTTGGATTGTGTTGATTATAATAATTATTATTTGTTGCTGTTGATTTTATTGAAGAATTTTGTTCATCATCTAAACAATATAAATAACATATGAAAGATTTTCTCAATATAAAAATTCTTGTCCTAGACATTAATTTAACATGATCGAAAACGATTATTGACCACTTGTCTGTCTGTCTATTCTGATTTATAATCAAGTTTGTTATTCACGCGAATCTGTCAGTTTAACAATTTAAAATAAGACACATGTTCAATAAGTTTCATATTACTGATGAACTTTTTTTTCTCTTCCTACCGTTTGATAATCGTTTGCGTTTAGATACAACAAGATCAATTGGAACAGATCTAAATGACAATATAAAAATTGAAAATATTTTTTAATAAAATTTTATTTCCACTTACTCCGATGAAATACAATTAGTTTCAATAAATTTAATTGTAGGCTAGAACAAAAAAAAAAGATAGATATTTTATTCACATACGACTGTTGATCAAAGTTGGGAAAAAATATGAGAAAATCGACATCATGTTGTTAATGATGTTATATAGTCACAATTATTTTCTTTGATAATTATGTCTAAGAAAGAAGTCAAATCTCAGCATGATTAAATTTATCTTATTTCTTTAGCATTTCTATGGATACAATATATGCAAATGAGTTATTGATAGATAGATTCTTTCTTATTTATCCCCAAAGCGAACATTTCCTTCTTCTTCTTCTTCCTCTTCTTTTTTCACCTCTTGTCTAGACAAAGCAATCGACCGTACTAGTGTAAAGTATAAAATCGACATGTAATCCCTCTTTCGTTTCTATTTGGTTACCATGTGTGTTTGAGTAAGCATTAAGGAAAATCCATCTTCTCCGCCCCTGCTGGTGTGAAAACATTATTTCCGCTCAATTATGCATTTGTACATATACACACTTACTCTCCTATTTTTTCTTTTTGTATATATATGTATCTATCACACTTTTATATATGTATATACAACACCTCGGGCCCGACATCATCATCATCAACAACGTTGTCGTATCCTTGATTCGATTCGGAATCTAAGATTACGACGAGTTGCCATTTCGTTAGTACATATATATATATAGGTATGTGTTCCGCATAATGGACTTTTTCGGCTATAGCGGCAAAAGAATGTCTGTCTAACTCAATAGTTACATAGCGAAAGAATCAAAGGATAGAACGACAGTATATAATTTATTTGTTTGTTTGCCGATACGTGTGTGTCTGTATATGTTGGCATCATCAACATATACAATAGATTTGACTGACTAGATTGTTGACACAACTGAAGAGCGTTTACTTTTTTTTGATGTTCAAATAAGAACGGACACGTCTACTTAATATGTGTATGCATCATAGCAGCGTTAAAAAAACAACTAAACTGTCAATCATTTGCTTTACGTATTACAGATGAATGAAAACAAAACCATAACTGAAGATAAAGAAAAAAGAAGACTCCTATTGAGAATGATTTTTTTATAAAACATAGAATGATGAAATAATATTTTCTTTTTTTGATTATTTTCAACTCAGATAAATTTTAATTTACAATGCTCCATTACCTTTCGCCTTTTATCACAATTAGTATATGCATATCAAATTCGATCCACCCAGTTTGATGCATCGATATCATCTTTATTTTTTCTCTTTTACATACCTATCTTTTCCTTTCTGGTGAGTTTCGATGTGTCAATACTAGCAACGAGAAAGACGATAAGCAATAAGATCTTCAGTAATATACTGTAGAAGATGAAGAAGAAGAAGAAGAAGAAGTAGAAGGAAAAAAATACGAAGAAAAGAAAAGAAACATGGGGCGCATCCTTTATTGCCTGATTGGTTAGTAATTTTATCGTTACGCATTCTAATTGGTCACTTAGGCGTTTTTTTCTTGCTTTTCTACTACTGATAATGATTTATTATTTAGCAAACAATTTTTTTTTCTCTA